GGGGCAAGGAGGCTGTGCTCTAGTGGCCATTGAAGAGTAACTTCTGATGAGTTATCTGATCCAGCAATTAAAGTGTTACTGCAAAGCTTAGTTAAGGTAAAACATTCTGCTTGGTTGGCTTGTATATCAGCGGCTAATGCTGGTTCCTGAGAAAAGATAAAGACTAAATGCAACCAAAAGTCCGAACTGATGGAAAGGGCTAGGCAATTCACATATACACTTCAACACTTCCTCTTACGTGTGACGCGGGAAGTCAATATGTGAATAGACTCAGAGGTATGGCTCAAGAGGTCATACATGGACATAGAGGGGGGCAGTAGCAATTTTTGGATTAACTGCGAAAGCCAGGACTTGAACTCAAGACCTTAGGCTCTGATACCAGGTTAAGCTTCATGTCTAGGCAGTGGAACGTCCGAAATGATGAAAAGGGCTAGGCAATCCATATATACACTTCAGCACCTTTGACTCAGTCCTTTTCTTTTCCTTTTTCTTTTGGAATAACACGTAAGCTTATCTAAAATGGGAATTACGTAGGCCTGATTTGAGTTACTTGCTTACAAATTGAATGGTAATGTTTACCCTAAACCAGCTTTACTTACACCCTTAAACCATTTATCCATTTGTCTTGAAGATTCCCTGAGAAACATGCTTCACAAAGATGTTATCCTAACTCGGATACTTAGTATATGTCATGTTACAAGAATTTGAACAGACCCACTATAGAGAGTTCAGTAATCTGCATATTTCCATCATAGAGATTTGACTATTAGGTTAAAGAGCTGTTCTGGTGCAGAGAAGAAGGGGCTGTGGTCTGTATCTATGACCAAAACCTCGCTGGGTGGCCACTTCTTGATCATGGAATCTTGCTGCTGAGGGTCCAGCATGAGGTCACGCTGTGTCTTTATGAAAACCCGCTTTATTCGATTCAATCTCTCATCAGCTCCTTCAAAGCTTGCAGTACCAATAGCACTTGCAGGCCATGGGCGCATCAGCATTGAAGCCAGTATTGACTCCTGAACAAGATTTTTTTCATAAAACATGTGTAAGTAAAATTCGGACCATTGGTTACCTCATAATTGTTGTAAGATGTTTAGTTCTTGAGAAGGTTGTTCAAGAAACATGCATGGGAAATGATAGCAATATTTTGTCAGGAAATAGCTACAATAAATTTCATAATACTGGGCTCAGATTATAGAATCTGTACAATTTGATAAAGATGTGGATTTCATGAGCACATTGGCTCATGCATATTATACCTCCTCAGGGCTTTGCTGTGATAGTCGATCACGCTGGAATTCTAATCTCAAGGCGACAGTAGTTGGAGGATCATCTGCTCCTGCACCGAATGTCAACTCGGTCTCATTCTCAGGCAAACTTGGTAAGCCCTGTTACACATTAATATACAGAAACTGTCATTAGTCGTACATAGTCAGTATATAACCATGAAAGGAAGCTTCCAGATATGCAATGAATTTGCAACAGAGCTTATTCAATAATTTCAACACGTGGAATTTGTTCTATAAATTTTTCCAAGAATTGTTGAACCTGTTATTTCATTTCTATCATGCAAATGACGACAACGAGAACAAGCTGAAATTCTCAGGAAATATTCCAAGTGCCTGGTTAGCATTGCCCATCGTATTTATCCTGGTTTTTACCATGTCTGTTTGAGTTATATATGTACTAAGGATTTCAGTTTTGTCGTATGTATATGTTTGCTAGTTATGCCACATTCTCAGCACTTGGTAGGTGGCCCATGCGTCATGACAAATAAAGTGCAGCCTGAAAACATTTTTTAAGGAACAAAACATACATCTTTCTTATCTTCATCAGTCTGAAGTCCAAATGGCAGCATAGCAGCTGCCACAAATATTGCTTGCTTAATTCTGTCAACGAATTCATGCATTGCGTGAATCACACTCAGCCCTCCACTGCCATGCCCAATGAGAATCACCTGAAATTCGATCAAAATGAGTTTAAAAAGGTAAACCAAATCGCCTATAACTCTTCGCCATTTTGGACACATGTCCCTAATTATAAGCAGCTTCACAATCACAACAAAGCAACAAACTACCTTCAGCACTTTGTGGCCATAAGTAGTTTATAAATTAGCAGCAATACTGCAGGATCCTACCTTCTCGCCCTCCGGCAAGGCGGAGATGAGGCGCAGGAGCGGCTTGTCATACTGGTCGAATGACCGGACAGTGTTGGGGTCGGTGGGGTCTACGCCACTTCCAGCAAGGTCTATGCAGGTCACCTGGTAGCCGGAGCCCTCAAGGAGCCACCGGAGCTTGAACCAGCACCACCCTCCATGACCTTCCCCATGAACAAGCACAAAATGCTCCCCTGCCATGCCCGTTCAGTATCTGCCTATTGAGTACATCATTACCTCTCTGTACCAATCACCGGGACAACTGCATTTGTGCGGCCAGTTCCAAATGTCAAAACCAAGCAGGTCGTCCATTGAGGTCTACTATAAATGGATGCCATGCCAGGTGCTCTCTGCATATCTTGCATGTAAAATGGCAGGATATAGCGTGTGGACCAGCTGGTTTCTCTCCTCCCTGCATTGTGTTTGGCATTTGGCCCTGACGGACGTGCTAACTTATCGGAGGATGTTTTGCGGTGTTAATTTCTGGTTTTAGACCATGATATATTCACGCGTGGTACATCTGGAACTTTACAGCCTTGTTGATAACTTAATTGGCATGCAAGTAACATCACACAGTGAAGACTGGAGAAGTGGAGAATACAAGAGCAGGAGCAGCTAGGCGTCTCCCAGACAGTGCATGCATGGTGTACAAGTGGTCACAGTAACTTGACGATGAGCTGAAAGAGACGCTCCGGTGCGGAGAAGAAGGGGCTGTGGTCGGTGTCCATGGCCACAACCTTGCCCGGTGGCCACCGGCGAATCATCGCCTCCTGCTGCTCCGGCTTCACCATGCAATCCTTTGCCGTTGTTATGTACACGCGCCGCACCTGGTCGATTGCGCTGCTGTCCCCGCCGCCTCTCCCAAACCTGGCTGCGCTCAAGGCGGCAGGCCATGGACGGAGCAGGATGGAGGCAAGCGCAGAGTCCTGAACAAACATCTTATAGTTACAGTGCCACGACCATGGCATATAACACATCGGCAGATGATTCAGCGTTGCAATTCCATTAACCAACCTCTTGGGGGCTTTGCTGGGACAGGATCATGCGCTGGAACTCTGGCCGCAGTGCTGCACTCGTTGGCGGGTGATCCATTCCAAGACCAAATGCTAGGTCATACACGTCCCCGAGCTCGGATAAATCAGGTACGCCCTGTTAAATATCAGCTGAAATTCTTGAAAGGAAGAACTAATGGTAGCTGCTACTGTAACCGGACATAATGAGAGTTTAAATGAGCTTATGATAAGAGAGTTCAGGCAGTCACATCTTTGATGTCTTGTTCCGTTTGGTAGCCAAACGGGAGCATGGTTGCTGCTATGAAGATTGCCTGCTTAATCCTTTCGCTGAATAAATGCATTGCATGGGTCACACTTAGCCCTCCTGCGCTGTGCCCAACCAAAATCACCTGAGGAAATCAATATGCTACCATTAGTTTTGTTATTGTGCCAGTATCAATCAGTAACACGAGATTTCCTTGTTATTGTGAGTAAATTTCTTTGATTCTCGGTATACTATACACTTTTATCCCACAAAGCCACATTTTTTCATCTATCATAATTTCCCTAAGGTACACAATTTCTTATTTCGATGGTTTTGGCAAGCGGCCTTGTTATAAAGGGTTTTTTTTCCAGGGAAGTTACACTAGGCCGTTGCGCGTCTCATCAGTCTATTGGAAGTCATAGAAAGTGGTTTCCTAATAAAGAGCAACGCAAAATAAGTCTGATCATAAAACATATATGTGTTGAAAGTAGTTCTTAAAAGAATGTAGTTTAAAGCTATATTTTGGTCCCCTGAGACTGAAAGAGTGATGCAGTGGGATGTGGGTACATGGTTACTGTCGTCACCTTTTCGCCGTCCGGCAGCGCGGACAGGAGGTCGACGAGCGGCGCGGTGTACTCGTCGAACGACCGGACAGAGCCGGGGTCGACGCGGCTGCCGGCTGCCCCGGCAAGGTCGACGCAGGAGACGCGGTGGCCGGAGCCCCGGAGCAGGGGCAGGAGCCTGAACCAGCACCAGGCGCCGTGGCCGGCACCGTGCACTAGGACAAAATGCTCCTTGCTCTCGGTAGCATCACCGCCGGCGTCCATCTCGTCAATAACTTGTAGTACCACTACGATTGTCTGTGCGCCTGTCTATCTATCCGCGGTTGCATGCCCTTTAATGACGAGCTATTTATATAGGCGAGGCCAAGCAATTTGTCTTGTCGTTTATTTCCAGAAGCATTGGCTAAGTCGCCACTGCAATAGTGCACTTACATCAGTAGTCGCGAATCCAAATGCAGGAAAATCACCTGCTACCTCCCTTGTGCACCTGCCCATAAATCTTAGGAAAATAGATGTCCACAGCACATCACGTCCTATATACTATCCTAAGGAGAAAATTGACTCAGCGTGAGCCGGTCGATGGAGACAAGGCCAGACTAAGTCCAACGGACAGAGGCTACGTATGTACGCCATTTGTCACGTACGGTATGTATATGTACTGTACGCACTAGAATTGGTGTCTCTGCATAGCCTGCATCACTCAGGGTTGTCCTACACGTGTTTTGTCCTTTATTTCCTGGGTGGATTTCTAGTGCCTTTTTTATCTTGTTCCACGTACATGCATGCCGACTTCACCGTAGAAAACACATGAATGCCAACCTGGAATGATCAGGTGGTTTGACTCTTTCCTGCCGATCGGACACCTCGGGCTAAGAATCAAAGGCTTGTCCAGGCTTCAATGCCTCTTCAATGCTTCCTCAGGCTTGGTTTGTCTGCAAGATGGCCTAATTGGCGAGGTAATGACACAGGCCGAAAATGACTAGTGCATGATCATCGGGTATTTTTTTATCAAAATATGTCGATTCTCTGGTCCTCCAAATGGTCCAACACAAAGCAGCCCCCACTAGAGCTAGTTTGCGTTGGCCAGGAGAAACACAGGGTCCACGAAGCACCAATTAAGCCCTGAACATCTTCAGGAGGTCCAACCAAATTAAGAGCACTAAAGACCACTCTCCAGGTGAACTTGGCAAGGTTACAGTCAAGGGACAAATGATTTTGTCTTTGCATGACCACAGAATTAGCATTGATTGTTGCCAGTGCACCCTCTTTTGAGTAGATTTGTCAAAACACTATTCCTAATGAAAAGGCACAGAAAGATCTTGATTTTCAAGGGCATTTTGATCTTCCATGTACCTCTGTATCCAACTAGGTCAGTTGCTTTGAGTTGCAAATATAGCTCCCTGACAGAGAAGACCGTTTGTGCACCCAGTTTCCAACACACACACACACTCTCCTTGGCTCCTTGTAATCAGTAAAGATACTATTATCAATCATTTCCTTCAATTCTATCCATTGAGCAACAGTTTCT